TTTGCTGTGTAATATGTTACTTTCACTTCCTGATCTTCTTCTCTGTAATTTGTAGAAAATGTGTGCCTAACTGTTGACATTAAGAATGCAATCATTTGTTTTTCAGTGAGTGTTTTAGAGTAGTTTGTCTGTACAGCTGCATTATAAATTATGTTTTGTAAGCCAAAGCAAAAAAATAAAAATGAAGCTCTAAAGGGGAAGGAGTGACGAGAGCGGGATGAATATATCGCAGGGTTTTTGCATTTGAGCAGTAAAATCAGTGACTTTGCAGAGTGAAATTCTGATGTCTTTGTATTTTTTGTGGACTCATACTGTAATATGTGTGGGATATATCTAGGAGCTGGTCCATGGCTGGAAATGACTGTTGAGTACGTGAAGGAGAAAGAAAAGCAACTAGACTTATTTAAGTTTCTTAAAGACCCTTTACTTCACATCTGAGGAGCTCCTTCAGTTCAGTGGAGAGTCCCAGGTATTTAAACCCTAGCAGGAGTTTTTCCCTTAAGAGGGTCACTGACCTACTATTGATCATGTGCCTCATCACATGATCCAAGGTGTGAAAAAGGGTGTGGGTCATTAGCTCTGTCCCAATTCGTAGGCCGCATCCTTCAGAGGACCTGGCCTTCGCGGTCTATGTGGGCCGGGTCCTTTGAAGACCCAGAAGGCCGGAAATGCTTGCTCCTTACTTGTCAAGGCGCCAACTAACAACTCTACTCCCAGTCTGCTTGTCCTCGTTGTTTAACAGGCTCTACTTCCGTCGGTCACACTCTCGCTGTTGTAAATAATCTGACAGAGCTGACAGTGATTCAGAAACTATTTCCATTTTCAGTTTATTAAATGATGCAGGATTTTTTTCACTATGCAGAGACTGTAACAGTGACGCTGACACTGATCCTTACATGATCGCCGCTGTCAACCCAGAGAAGGTTCACCACCCACTTAGTGAGCCGTCCTGGAGCCGTGGCTGGTGTGAATGCACCACTTCGATGATGGGATGTGACAGCAGATCCCTGAGCAAGCCTGAAGTGTCCACACACATCTTTATCCCTGTCATACGCATAAAAATGCAGCCACACTGCACCACTGGGCTCACATTGCTGCTTTTGTTCATGCTTATACTGTATCTTTGCTTGTGTGCCTTACTAAACGCTTGAGGTTTTTAGGATTAAATGAACCTTGGCATGTGTGTTGTGTGCTAATACAAGAGCAATTCTCAAATACCTGACATGGTGTATCTTTCCAACTGTATGTAAATGATTTAAGATGCAGTCACACAGGCCTTGAGACTGGTTGATGAACCTTGACAAACTCTGGTCGCAAGAAACAAATGTGTATTCTACAACCAGTTTATGTGATTACTGGGTGTTGCCACGAAATTGGTGTGAAAGAGAGTGCTTCACCAAAAACCCTGTGATTTGCTTGCTAGCAGATTGCTAAAATCGCTTTTATTTTGGATGAAAGATGCGGACTTCTCTGCAAACGCATCTCGTTTCTTTGTTTTTGTTTGGAACCTGCTAGCAACCAAAGCAATTGCAAGGAGGTTTTCGGTGCAGCGCCATATACCTCATTGTTTCCAGTTTCACCTAGCAACTACCTGCAACCTTCATCAACTACTTGCCAGACGGTTGCGGAATACACAGTTTTCCCTAGTAACCAGTATATTAGTATTAGTATATTATATAGTAACCAGGGTATTATTGACCAGCCTACAGGCCTGCAGCCTATTTGGCAGTGACTATCAGAAATCAGTGGGGAACATATATTTCTCCGTTACAAGTAGTGGTTGCCAGATGGCCTCATATTGGTTTTTGGGACTTTGCTAATTGGACTTTTGATGACTTTGATGAAAGAACTTTAATTGGCAACAAAGCTCATTTTGTTACAGTCAGAGAGGAGAATTATCTTGTTAGACAGAAGTTGCGTGCTGGTTAGAGTGTATTGTAGGTGATTTACAGCCACGTTTTTATGATCACACCCAGTTTCAAAACACCAAGATGGTCACAGTGCAAAACACTTAGTTTGAGGCCTTATAATCGATCTAACCAACAAATAACATAGACATAGTTAACAATGATATTAGACAATTTATTGGTCTATCCTTATTATATCATTGTGAACTGCAGCATATACATTTTCCTTTATAAAATTTAAGATCAGGCTTAAACTGGGTTGGCTCATATTCACGGACATGTTCAACACTTAACAAGATCAGATGTTCATCTTGAAGCAAAGCTTCTAGTAACCACCAGTTACAAAGCAACTTTAATATTTAGTAAGAATAGTTTTTTTTTTTTAGGCAGCACAGAGCTGCTGGAACATATATGGATAAAACTTGCCAACAGGCACCACTGACTTCACGTAAATATGATGTTTAGGCTGTATGTCTGCTTTACCAGAACAAAAGGAAAAGAAAATTGCACATTGTTCTGTATTCTATTCACTGCTTTATTGCAGCTTTTGTTTTTAGTGCACAGACATAGACAGTCGACACTGTCAGACTCCATCTGTCATCCAAGGATGTCAAATGGAAAACGGCTGAATTCCAGTGTATCCTGGAACCATTTCCACCTCTTCCATTTGAGTGAACCTGGGCAGTGATTGTACCACGCCCACTCTTTACACTTAATTATTTAATTGTGGAATTTGGTTCAAAGTGTGTTAGGTGTGCTAACTAGTAATGTTGGGCACTGTATTAAAATACTCTAACAAGACAAGGTCACCTACAAAACTGGAGACTGTAGATGCATTTGCTTTAAAAAAAAAAAACACACACACAAAAAACTAACATGCAGTTAGCTTAGCTAGCATGATTTCCAGGGTAGCTTGTTAGCTCAGAAGGTTGTTGATTTCTGTGTGCAATCAGATAAAGCCATGTCTTCACTGCACGTCACTCCAAAATCATACACAATAACCCTTTTCAGTGTTAACAAATCAAAAAGGAGCCCCTACCTCGTGCTAGTATTTAAAAATTGCCATTTAGAAGATTTTTATTATTATTTTTTTTTAACCAAACTGAAATCTCAAGGAGGTAAACCAGAAATTAGTAGAACAAAAGTCACAGAAAACCATTGCTCTCAAAATATCAACCACTACTGGACATGGACATTTGTCATCATCCCTGCAAAAAGTGGAGTGTGACTGCACCCTCAGTCACCGTCTTTCTTTGTCTTTCTCTTTAAAATGTTTTGTTTCAAATGAAAGCAACTATGTTTACTATGTGCTAAATGGATCTGAAATTATTGCTAGTGAGAATGTGAAGCTTTGGAACAATTGTAAGATTTAAAAGATAAGTATCTACAAAACAATGGCTCATTGGGGTTTGTTTTCTTTCTTTAATAAACCTGACTTCAAATGCCATTTATCCCACAAGTCTTCACTTAGCCGAGGACTCCCTCCTCCTCACGCCACCACCAAACAGCAGTCCATCTAGATTCCACCCAGTCTCCTTCCAGCAAACACTATTTAAACAACCCGGTAAACATGTCTGTCTTCATTCATTACCCTGCTTCTCATCATGATCAAGCCTCCCGATTTAATGAGGCAAATAGATATTTCTGCGGTGATTGTCTCGCTCTCCCACAAAGTATTAAGACTATTAAATGGACACATCTGTTTTTAATTAGGAGCTAAAGTCACCTCGACGCTGCCTTCCATGTTAATGGACTCTGATTCCATCAAACCTGCCTGACAAACAATGCAGTGCAGTGCGGTTAGCAGTAAACAAAGGGCTCTGGGTGTGAAGTAAAAAAAGGACTGAGATACTAACACACAATTCTGTGCAGACAAAGATGCAAAAGACGTTACATCTTTTCAGATATCTATAGGCTGTTTTTAGAATTGAATTTCAGTAGCTTACTTAAGTGTGGTTGTAAGAGGCCACAGATTTAGTGACGGCACATGTTCCTGATTGTGTCAAATTTGTAAGAAAACTGTCTTACAGATATCAGTCCAGCATCATTGCTATTCTAGCTGTTCAGTTAGAGCCACTCACTGTTAACTGTCTCACCCAGATGAATATAATTCAGCTATCTTGTGAATAAAGATGCAAATAAGTCCTGTATTTTCTGTTTTATTCACATGAAACTTGATTACGCTGAGCTTTGATGAATTGCAAGTTGTAGCAACAGTCAGTCTCTCAGAGGATCGATGGTAAGAGTTTCACACGGTTACCATCAAAAGTTACAAGTCTCACTTCATATATCTTGCCTTTGAGGAGACGGGGGAAGCTTGTATTCATATGCAAAATTTATATTTAAAAAAAAAATATATCCTTCACACCCTGTGAGCTTCCAAGCCTGTCAGCTTTTATATACAGCATGCCATAGTAAAGGTTAAGTTCTGACTTATTTTGTTATTTTTCTTTTTTAAAGAAAGTGCCATATGCTCACAGTGCCACAGCAGTGTTTCCTCACGGAGGGCATCTGCGCTGCATTGTGGGAGCGGGTTACTGCATTCCCCCGGCATGTAGGCAGAAAGGAAGTGGGCAGGTGTGATACTCTGGGAGGCAGTTCCCAGCAGAATAAAACATGATTAGATGGAAAACTCAGGAGCATCTTCAGGGGACGGAGAAACAGGCGGCGATTCTGAGCTCCACCTGCCATCTAGTGGAAATGAGATTTATGTGCAAACAGAAATAAACCACACATTATTTTTTCTTCTTCTTCCATATAAATTTATAAAAACTACAATCATGAGAGCAAGCCAGCATTCTTTTTTTTTATTACCAGGAGTAAGCTGTACGTAAAGATAACTCTGCTTTGATTTCTAATACAAAAGGTCTTGTGCCTTGCCGTGCTGCAGAGCGTTGGCTGGAATGTGCTGACGCTGGCCTGTTCTCACCTGGAAACGGCAAACATGAAAAATTAAAACAGGTCATGTCTTTATTTAGAGTAGGAAGTGCTGTGTGGACAGGGTGCAGTTGATGTGCGCAGCTGTGCGTTAAGTGTCTGACTCCCCTGTGACTGCACATGATTTACACTACAATGCTCTCCTCTTACCACCAGGTGGCAGCAGATAACCACGTCAGACTCTTCTTCCCCAGGCATCAGTTTCCTGTCTCAGTCTGCATCACAGGAGACGTTCCAGACAGTTAAGGATTGCAATTCTGTTTTTTCTTTTTCTTTTCAGTGAGAAAATACCAGCTTTAGTTTGACTGCAATCTTTATTATGATCATAACTGCGTTATTTGACACATTTTATGCTCCAGTTCGGAGTTATTAGTGACCAAAGATTCATGGCCAACTGTAACTATAAGGGCAAATGTCAGAACTATGCATCTGTTACGGGTTAGCCACAGTGTCTATATTCACATCTCATTGTCACGAGTAGTTTTTTTTTGGCACAATACACAGAAAATTGTGGATTTTGGACACAGAGGATCATTTATCTTATGTTAGAACAGTTTTATAGTTGTTTTTATTAAATATTTTCAGTGGTTTGGTTCTTTGGCTCTTTACTGTAGTCATGTTATGTCCTAACTGACACCATTGATTTTGTTAGAAAAAGATATGAGCAGATTAAATCACTTAGAACGTTTTATGTCATATTTATTTGTCCAAAAGCGGTCTCCGAAGCTCCTCAGGATTGTCTGGTGCTGCTGTTACCCTTTTCTTGGACAGTTGCTCAGCATATTCTATGACCTACTTGTCTTTAAGGTTTGCTGTCATGTTTTCTTACAGAGCAGCTACTTCTTATTGCAGTACAGCTCGGCTGTGTTCTATATTTTTGCTTACTGAAGCTAATGTGTGTGTCTACGTGACCGATACAGCTTCATCTTGTTTAACATTAGGCTGGTTTTTGCTGTCTTCATCGTCCCTCGTGACTGAGTTACACTGGTTAAGAATTCTAGCTGCAAGCAAGGAGGAAGCATCCCAACCTGTGTGTGTGTGTGGTCTTTGTGAATGAATCAAAAGACTGGATATATATTAGAAGGTCATGATGCTGATTAGACCATTTACTTTGATTTATAAAAAGAAACAAAGAAGAAAAACTTAGGCTTCTGACAAAGTAAGAGATAATTAAATAGGATTCAATTACGAGTCCAGTGACTTAATAGCAATTATAGAAAGTCACTGAGGTCATAATTCACATCCATCTCCTTGCAGATGGTATATATTAAAACTGTTACACTCTAAGCTTGGCTTTTTCCTTTGTTTGTTTTTTTTTTTACTCGGCACATATTTGAAATGAATACTCCTCCTATATCCCATGACCTCTTGTGCCTGAAGAGTAAATTTAAATAACATAATGTAGGTGTTTACTCAGTGATGACAGCTGGCCAGCATCCAACATGAATGCCTCTGAGAAGCTGTGTTTTGGTCTGGATAAACACAGTCAATGATGGCTCTCTGCTTTTACTGGAGGATGACTGACAACTGATGTGTGTGAAGCAGCTTTGGTAAGAAGCACAGGACACATGTTAGGCCTTCTTTTATTATCATTGTTTATTATATTAAGAAATAGATATTGTACTAGAAGACTCATGGATTAAAACTAAAGGGAGAATTTGGCAGCAGCAAAGATCTTTTAGTAGAAAAATAAATTCTGGAGCTTTTTGAAACTTTATTTTGGTGCAAGGTTATTTATCAGTGTTGACTTTTATGATTCTGTATTTAGTTTTATGTCAAGGTGGCTGTTGAAATTCGCAATAATATAGATAATGCTTGAAGATATTGCGCCTCGAGGTGTAGCAATGTGGCTGCTTGTGGTAAAAACTTTCTTTAGAAATTTCTAAAAGGGAATAGTTGCTTCACTAGTTCAACATTGTACTGTATGAACCTACCAAGTGACTCATTGTCAGACAAACTCCTGATTAAGGCTCCTTGATTACAGCAGTAATTCTAATCTGTTACTTAACATGATTATTCATTAAGTTAACAAACATTTATGAATCTTCCTCTTTTTTTCATGAGAAAAAGGTGGAACCCCACACTAGGCTGTGCTTTGATCTTTAATGACCCGAGGTTTCCAGGGGGGTGCCAACCAGTCTCTAGGCCTGTGTGACCGGGGCCTAATGAGAGGTTAAAGGTCAGGTGTAGCCGTACATTGAGAGGAAAAGATTTGCTTTACATAAGTCAGATAATAATGTGGCGCTTTGCAGCAGTGGTTGGCTGACCTGTGCTGATATTCCAATATTCGCTGCTCAGCTGGCTGCTCAGCAGCTAACTAACATCGAGCACAGTTAATGATCACTCTTGGCTGCTTCAGGACCGCAATTTCAAATCCAAAAATCCTCTTTGGCCACCAGCATTCACAAATGGTGACGCACGTTTCCAACAGCAGTAAGTGTTTGTGAACATGACATTAAAATATGAAACATGAAGGAACATGAGCGGCCTTTTATGGGCAAGAACAGGAGCTCCTGCCAGGTATGAGATGCAGTGACTGTCTCCCTCATCGATGAATGGGAATATTTTAAAAAGTATAACATGGACTTCAGTTGTTGAGATAAAAGCTGATGGGACTTAGCGATCAGACACACTGTTTGTCAGTTGTGCAAACACAATTTCACGCACTTCCTCTTTTTCTTGCTCTTTAACAAGTGGTTATTGTACCATGTTTGTTTCCCCTCTTTCTCTGATTCCCCTCTCTCTGGTTTTTCCCCTCAAACAATGGATCATAACTCAGACAGGAACCAGCTGCTTCAGCAATTACATTAATATCTGTCCCAGACTTTATTGGCTTTCCAGCCACTCTAATCAAGTCAAAGGGAACTAGGCTATCCCTCTTCGTAACAGAAAGTTCACCCTCAATCTGCTTTGATTGAGAATGGATGTCATTCCTCTGCCGTTAGTGCTGTAGCGTGCAGTGTTCCTCTTAACCATTACATCCAGGCGATGTGAGTTATGGTATCAGCCCCGAGTAGTGCCGGAGAAGAGCGGCCGAGCTCATATCCTGCCAGTGTGCCTCTGAGCAAGTCAGGCGAGACGCACGCGCCAGTGACCGCACCATTACATCAGCTACTTTCACTCCACGTATTCTGGCTGCTGCTTTGTGTGAGAAGAAGGAGCCATTATGTGGTATAGTATAGTCGGAGTTTGTTTGGAGAGCTGGCGAGGGGAAGCAGAATTCTGACAGAGCAGTTATGGCATTAGTCCAAACAGAGCTACACTGTTCAATGGCAAGAACAAGTCGTTATTGTGTCACACTCTGAGAAATACTGTAGGCTGCACTGTGACATTGTCCCCAAGAACGGGTCATTCAACTCCGCTTCCTTCCTGAAACCTCGGCCAACTTATCATTCTCACTTTTTTAGCAGCAGCACTGATCACATACATTACAATTTGTTGGATGTACTTTGAACCAAAGCCTCTGAAGGTTTCTGTTAAAGAAAAGCTGCACAACGTTTTAAAAAATGATATTTGTGTTGATACTTGGTGTTTTTCCACCAAGAAATTTAACTACATGTTGACCATATCTGTGATCAGTCCTTTTGGTGGTAATATGTCATGTAAACACATTATCTTGATTACGTCTTGATGCATTCTCAATCATCCAGGAAAGTAATTCTCCAAAAAGTTGATTCTGTTCATCTGGACGTAGCGTTTTGTGGGAGAAACGTTTCATCACTCATCCAAGTGACTTCTTCAGTCTCAGCTGACTGCAGGTTTCCCCAATCTTATAAACAGTCCATTTGCATAATGACTGAAACCAGCCCACTGAAGGAACAATGGGCTGGGAGGTCAGTGCCTTAATCATAATTATGCAAATTCTCATGACCATTGATCAACAACCACTGACCAAAACCCACTGATCAAAGACCACTGATCAGTGGCCATGAGTACCATTCACAGAGAGTTGGGGAATGGCTGCAATCGCAGCATAGCAAGATGCCGAAAGATGTACCCTTAGGCCCCCGTCCTCGATTCAGAGATGGTCTTTCCCTTTTCACGTAAATGGCCTCCTTGACTCCGCTCTCAAACCAGCGTTCCTCCCTGTCCAGGATGTTACATCCTCATCCTTGAAAGAGCGTCCACTGGCCTGTAGGTGTAAATAGACTGCAGAGTCCTGGCCTGACGAGGTGGCTCTTCTGTGTTGTGCCATCTGCTTCACCAGAGGTTGTTTGGTTTCCCCGATGTATAAATCCTGGCAATCCTCCTGGCACTTAACAGCGTGCACTATGTTACTCTGTTTGTGTCGAGGGACCCGATCCTTGGGCTGGAACAATTTTTGACGCAGCGTGTTTTGGGGTTTAAAAGCCACAGAGACCTGGTGTTTAGAAAAAATGCGTCTCAACTGCTCCGATACTCTGTGGATATCCGTAGTTTTTTTCTTTGTTTTGCTCTGACAATCACTCTATAGATGCAGTTTCTTTTATTCATATTGTTTCTAGGGCAGTAACTGTTGCTCAGTATTTATTAACTCCAAGTCCAACAGGATCCTTTCCGCTTGCAGAGTAATTCACAAAAACCAGCGCACAAGTAGAAGGATAAACAACTGCGACGGCCACTTGCGTAGGCAACGGTATAGGCGCTGTACAGATTCAGTGCAGGGTTTATAAATCAAGCTTAGAAGTGAGAAGGGAAACAGATCAGTCTTACCTCTGTGAATGAAGTTAATCCTTTAGTTCAGTTTTGTATAAACAGTTTGCTAGGGTTGGGCTAAATATATTTGCAATCAGCAGCTGGCCTTTCACAGAACCATGTCTCTGTTGTTGTGGCCTTTGTGGATGTTTCTTTATCTAGAGGCTTCAAGGCATCCTTCATGCGACTGTGGTAGTCATTAGCTTGTGGGCTTTGACTCTAGCATAATTTATAATAAGTATTTTTGTTCTTTGACGCAGTGTATGAGGCATTGGGGTTTGCAAACACACCTTAATGAATAATTGTACAACTGTTGGTTCTTGGACTGATGAATGCCAGTAGGAAAATTATAACAGATTACCTAACCCTGCTTGTGCATTATGTTAGTAGACGTTTGGCTCAAACCTGAGTACTGTATGCGGATGTTGCATATGTTATCTGGACACGGAACAACTATTCCATTCTTTGTAAGCTAGTTTTCTTAGCAACACAATCCACATCACAGTAGCTGGTTGAAAAATGTTAACACTTCTCAAAAGGGCATCCACACAGGTGAGACGGGCAACACGTGGCAACCAACAGAGCAGGAAATACTGATGAAATCCAGCAACTTGCAGCGATAATGGTCCAAATTAGTAGGGGTGCACCACGCTGACTTTTTCTAGTGCCAATCTGATATTGAGATCTTGGCTTCAGAGTTCTGTCCATCCAGAGTACTGCTCTGATACCAGTGTTAAATTAATATGCTGTATATATTTCTAAGTACAAGGAAGTGTGGTTAGAGTTATGTCACCATAAGTATTAGGGTTGGGCGATTGGATAAATAAATCTATGTAAATAAATTTTTACACGGGCGATTTATTTATTAATTTGCCCATGAGTAATTTTGCTAATAATGATGGAGGTAATAGAAGCAGTCAACAGGGAAAAAATAATAATATCGCTGTTTTTAACAGCACCTTTTTTTCATCTGTGAGCAAATGCACCCTCCTCAGAGTGCGCTCAGATGTTTGTTGATGGAGCTGCAGAAGCTGGTG